TGGAAGCTGGCGAAATACAGCGTCCATGTGTAAATCCCGACGATGACTTCCCTGGAAAGTGATAAACGCGGACGACTTCCATGGAAGATAAATTTCAAGGCTTCCATGGGAATCGCTCATGTTCACTTCGATGAAACCTGGACTCGGGTGATACTCTTCCACGGAAGGAAGTGGGGCCATGGTGAACCCATCGACGTCGAAATGTAAAGTCCCATGTAAGCTGCCCGAAGGTGGGGCGATTCCATGGAAACAGGTTGAATTGACTTGTGTGGTGTGGAAGCTCACTAAGTGACTTCCATGGAAGCTATGCAGTTGACACTACTGTAGCCTCCAGGCAGTCGATCGTCGACCCTCCCTTTCTTTACTTGCGGGGAAGTCAACTTATGAACGTTCCATGAAGCCACTTCCTTTGCCGGCTCCCATGGAACTGCAATTCAACCCGCTTCCACGGAAGTCAATACGACTCCCCGTGGAAGTATAGTCCATGTCCAATTCCTTGGAAGCTGCACGCATTTGTCACACAATGAAGGAAATTTCTGTGAACCGCAGTCTGTTTTTCCTATCTGCATACGCCCCGCGATTCACTTACTAACCACGCTTGATTGCCTCTCGTCCTCATTACTGCCAAGAGTATGATAAGGAGCACAACGGCGCCCTGCGGCCGCCGTATCAAGCCCACGGGCACGGAGAGAACGCGGACGAGCGCCACATTCCATACAAGGGTTAAATCTCTATCTAGGCCTGCACGAACGCAAAAACAATAGTCTAGTCTAGGTATATGATTCATAATTGCTGGTATACGAACCGCGGGTCCACCAACCTATTTGTAAACGCTTCAGAATCGCGTCGATAGACCTGGAACGACCATTAATTGTTCCCTGGCATTGGGTTTGGTTTTGTCTACGAGGAGACAGGGCAGGGGTTGCGCCTTGAACCGCAAGCATGGCAATCGCCGTCAGCCGAGGGTGTAACGCACGAGCACACCACCCGCCGCCCCCCAGCTCAGGAGCACTACTGTAGAGCCATGCCCGCCGGACAGTTGTTTGTTTTCTCGTTCTCAGCCACGTATTGCGCTCGCGCGCTCCCCTCCACCCGTCTCCTCCACTCGACGTAGCGCGTGCAGCAGAAACTCGGCACGAGGTCCGTTGATCGTTCAGCGTACCCCGTGTTACGCCGCGTCAGACCATTTGTTTCTCGTAGGGCCCCGCAGGAGTTGCGGCAAAACATGTTTCAACGAACCCTCGAGTGTCTGTAACGCAGACAGGCACCACAGTTGATTCAACAAAAGTCTGGCTTCTTGTTGGGGAATACCTCCATCCACCCGTACCTTAGGCCAACTCCAAGGTAAACGAGTGGTATCTACCACGATCAATCTTGAAACTGCAGCAACCATTGCTGACCCCACACTTTCATACGCACGTCGCAGAAACAACACATCGTCCACACAATACCACACCAATCCCCCACCCGTACCTTTTTGTTCAGCCTCCGGACCTACCACGCACGCACTGCTGTTCAACGCGAACCACAAACGCCACACTTCTCTTCGCCAGGCCTACTTGGATAGGGTGCCCTGGCGCACTATCAACCGCTCACAGACCCCGGAAGGTCTGAGATTGTGATATCATACCTGGTACATCCCAGGCAGTCTCTAGAACGCACACGTTAACGGTCCCGTCTCATGTCTGTTGCCCGTTCCTCCCTGCCTACCAAACCTCAGCGCTGGTCGTCTATAGCAAGCACAGGCTTTGCTTCTCGTGGGCCGCGTGAAGCCAGTCTACCGTACTCTTTGTTGCGGGATCGCAATAGAAGCGCCTACCACTGAGCGCTCCGCAGCATTAGCCGTCGACCCTCTGCTTGCTGGAGAGCAGCGCTTACAAGGAATTGCGGAAGGGTTCGCCCACAACGGCCGGATGATCCTTGGGGCATCAGATGCGACGCTCGCTATTACCAGCGAAAGGGGCGGAAGGGAGTGCCGCGGGCCAACCGGTCCCCAATTCGCCCAAATCGGCGAGAACGTGTTTGTCTACGGAATAGATAAATAGGCCGCAAGCCTCATCCTTCCGTCTTGGGCTGCCAAAGTACACGGCCCGGCACGACGCAACAGGCACGGCCCGGCACGACGCAACAGGCACATGCAGCACTCACGGACATGACTTTGGCTGAAAAACCATTCCCCGCACGGTACGACCTCGGCATCGTCCACGCCGGTCGCATGATCCCAAGTGCATCATGGATGGTCAACGTGTCGTTCAAGCCAAGGGCAACAATGATCGACGCATGCCAGCCAGCGCTCTCTGTACGTGCGCGTTGCCGTGTTTGTCGAGCAGCGAAAAAACTGGCGCAGAGTACGCTTGCAAAAATAACGCCTCGTCCTTATTACCAGCTGTGATTCTGCAGCATCCTTTACCATCCTCCTTTCTCCGCCCAGGGTGGAGCAACACTCGTGAGTGTGTGGGTGCACGTGCACGCGCGCGGAGTGCCTCGCTTCTTTCGGCGCGACAAACCCAATTCGCCACGTCATCGCGCCCCCGTGTTCGTCGTTGGCACCTGCCATGCGCGCTCGGCCGTGAAGCAAGTGTTGGACGGCTTCGCTAAGGGGACATCCGCCCGCACCGACCACAACCTGGAACGGTCCGTGCCGTCGAACAGGGTGGCGCTCAACAATGCCCTTCGGCCTGTATGCAGGCGAAGGGCAACCCCCAGCCCATTAAGGGGGGATATCGATGGCATCCCCTGGGCCCAGTCCCATACGACGCTCCGCTGCTGTAACGACATGCTGAGTAACACGCGCGGTGCAATGGGGCGGTTCGTGCGGTGGGCGCGAACGTGGGCATCGAAAACCGTGAAATACGACGTGCGTCGATGTTACTCTGTGCTCCATGTGGTACAGCGAAAGGCTAAACAGACGAAAGAGGACAGCCGGCAGTCGAACAAAAACACGTCAGAGAAATACCTCGCCTCCTGAGTGCTCGAAATACAGAGAGATATAGAGCAACGAAAAACAACAGGTCATGTCATCGGGATGTAGCATACGAAGGTACACAAACAAACAGCAGCGAACGGAGCAGTTCATTACTCTTACCAACCATGACAACCAAAGACGACGAGTACGCAATCGCCGCCGGCAGTCATCACCTATATACTATATGCATACGTACGAATACCTCGGCAATCCAGACTCCGAGAGAAATGGACGGTACGGCGGCACCAAGGTGCTGAAGTTCACTCTCCGTCTTCGTAGCGCGCCGTATGTCACGACGGGGTTGAGGCCCACTTTGAACCGCCCATCCATGAACGCTCTAGTGAAGCGGAACTGCGCTCGCCGCGAGGCGTGGTTAATGTTGATGCCCACCGTCTTGTTGCCCGTGTCGATCATGGCGCCCCCTGCAAGCAAACGGTGACAGACACCATCACGGTCGACGGCGGGGGAATGATACGTCGCGCATCAGTTCCCCAACCGAATCCAACGTAGGGCAAATAGCTACATCGAGATGAAAGTTTGGCTAGGCTATATCCAAAAGATATTGTTGGAGGCTGGGCTGCAGCACATACCCGCAGGAATCGTGAATCGTAAAACGGTCAAAAGATGCAATGGCGAGGACCCTGTTACACAAGGTGCTCCCCGCCCAAGGTTGATATACTGAGGCAAAGGTCCTTGGTCCACAGGAATTGATAGGCATGGAAGAGCACTGACATTACCGGGCATGCACCTAACTGAAACAACCCACTCGACGGGAGATCGATAAGTTCATGGTGGCAACCGGCGCCAAGGTATTCCATGCTGACAACCCGATCAGTCTCAACAGAAAACCCAGCCGGCAGTTGGGCGGGCATTTACCACACCCACCGTCGTGCTGTAGTTTGCTCTATTGAAGATACCGGTAAGCCGACTGAACTCCTGCCCACACGATCTGGCGGAAGAGTTCGAAAAAAAAAAAAACGTTTACACTAGCAATGGGTATATACCAACGTTTGTTCTATATCATGTAGGGTGCAACACCCACACAACGGACCATGTGCTGATGAAGGAAAGTACAAATAGGCACAACACCTGGAATGCATGGACAAGAGGAAAAGGATGTTCGCTCACGCACCGGATGGTAACCGCTGCTTGATGAGGGCGGAGCCTGTGAGCGTGAGCCTTGCCAGGGGCTCCGTAGGTGCGGTCTTTCGATACAGGTCTTGGGCTTTCGTCACCGACACCCTGTTCGCGTACAGCGACGGAAACAACAACACGGCGACCAAGCGCACAAGGTTATCGGGTGGTACAACGACAGCACGACAATGACGACCGCGCTTTAGTTTCGGAGCTGAATTATCGGACCATACGGGAGGGAGGACGCCTTGGAGGTAAGATGTGATTGGAGGTCGGTATTTTCTGCCTCCCCTTCAGTCAGTGTCTATATACAGTCGACCCGCTTTGAGGAAACCAAAATTAAGGAAACTCCCCGGGTAACGGAAACAATTTTTCGCCGAAACACAATACCCCGCAGAATGTAAAATATGCGTGGGGGTCCATATTCTAGTCCGCGGACCCCCCTGGAAGCACGTTTTCAGCGTACCCTCTTCGCCAGCAGAGAGGTCTGCTGCTTCACCTGCTGTCTGTGGTATGCAAAGATTCGTTTCACCTACCGGTGCGTCCTCTGCACCTGGGTTAAAACGGTGTGGGGAACCCACGTGCACGATCACGAAGCTCGTGTCGGGGATCCACACATGCCCGTGCGGTCGATGGATGCCCGCGTTTTGTGGTCGCGGCATCGGGAAGGAAGGCTACGGACAGCCGAGGGAGTGCACGGAATGTCAGAAGTCGTAGCGTTGAGTGTTTGCGGTTTGTCGGCCATACGCCGTATTGTGTGCTTGTGTCTGAATGGCGCTCCAGTAGAGAGTAACGCAGGAGAGATTCTGCGTGCGCTCCCCCAGGGGTAAACAAGAGTCGCCAGGTGAACTTGAAGTGTCCATCAGGTATTTTCCGTGCTGTGTGGTGGTGTTCAGCAATAAACAATTATTTTCTCGCCGACTCCCAGCCTCTTTTTTTATTCCAACAATGCCCTGCCCAGGGCGCACCTTTTGACGTATGTACTGCCACCATTGACCCCGGGGATGGTGCGTTCTGATCCCCTGAAGTTTAAGGAAACTTCCCCGCGTTAAGGAGACATTTTTCGAAGCAAAACCATATGTTTCCTTAAAGTGAGGTCGACTGTGTTTATGTTGTCACAAGGGCCTCTCGCCTGCACGCAATTTTCCCCCGAAGCGGAAGGAAAATAGTCCAAAACCGGAAAAGATGTGCACGGGATTTGTTCTCCGTTGAAAAGCAGGAGAAACGGCGGGGCTCAATCCAACAAGTACGAGGCAAATACACGTGGCTCGTTGCGCTTCTCGGTCAACGACTATTAATGGCACCCCCAAAACTGAAAATGAAAAAAAAAAACGTACTTGCGGTCTTGTAACGCTTGGTATAACTTTCACCCAAATAGAGGCCCTGCAAAACCTAAATTGGATGGAGGTATCGGGGGCCGAAGACCGTGATTGGTTAACAGCGAGAAATACGAAGAGGTTTTTGCTGCCCGGAAAAACGGGACGTTGGCATTGTGTGGAGAAAAAAAAATGGCAAATTGGTTTGTTTCGCACCCCCGTTCATGAGCTGAACTCGTGTTGGTGATGCCCCCGACTGGACCGCACGTGGCACAGTGGCCGTGCGGCACCCACACGCATCGCCCACTGCCCTCTGCCGGGATATACTCTGTACAAGGGCGATCCACGGCGGTGATCGACGGAGCGACGGCGGCGCGATCGACGAAGGCGGCCAAGGCCGCCCAATCGACCGACCTACCGACCAACCCCACCCTACCNCCCAACGGCGACGAACGACGAAGCGACGGCGGCGCGATCGACGGTGGCGCCCCAACCCCAACCCAACGCCAACCCAACCCAACCCAACCCAACCGAACCCCGACCCAACCCAACCCGACCCAACCTAACCCGAAACCAACACCACTCGACCCGACCAGAGCCAACCCGACTCCACCCAATGCAACCCAACCGGACACGGTCGGGTGAAGTTTCGTTTGCTGGAGACGAGGATGATGGAAGATAAACACTCGGCTAGAGGCATGTTGGTAAAAGTGACGCAGTGACGTACAGGAGGAGCCGAGCGACCACTACGAAGTCTGTACGAATCAGGTCGCCCGATCGACCGACCGACCGACCGACCGACCGACCGACCGACCGACCGACCGACCGAC